GGGACCAAGCAGAGCGAGGCCAGGCTAGTGTGCACGGTCATCCGCACCCTCCTCCTGTCCCCAGCAAGTTTTGTCTTTTAAAGACAGCGTTGATAGTTTTATCCCCTGAAAATATGGAGTGACCCCCATTCAGTGTCGGTCTGTTGCAAGAAGGCCGGAGAGAGTGATGGAGGAAAACACCTTAATTCTATCCAGAGACGGCGCTTTCTGCGAGCTATGCGTGCGCTCTGCACATGTGTGCATGGGATGAAATCAGGGTCTTTGCAAACATTGTGTATCCTGCTATTTCTACTTAATATTCTCAGCATTTCTCATCTTCAAAACCATGATTTTGATGACTGCACAGGACTTCGGCATATGGGTTTAGAAAGCCTACGTAAACTCGAATGGTTTCCAGCATTTGCTGTTTTAATGCTGATGCAAACATCCTCATACAGTAAATCTTTCTGTACTTCTGATTATTTCCTAGGGATAAATTCCCAGCGGGGGGCCAAGCGCACGCAAGTCTTCAGGCTCTCGCGCCCGTGTTGGGGAGGGTGGAGCGGGGAGGGGTCCAGGAGGGCTTTTGGGAGCAGGCGAGTTTCGAGCCTGGCTTTGGGGGAACTTGAATTCAGAGGAGGGAAAAGGGGGCATTCTTGTTTTGGAAACGGAGTTAGCAGAGGTGGGCACCTCCTGCCCTCTGGAGGATGGCAGTATTTTTCCTTCCCAGTGGCTGTGTAGGGGACCCTCCCACTGCGACCTGGCCCTGTATTTGTCTGATGCTCTGTGGCAGTCCAGTATGTCATGTGCAGCTGGGGGTCTCTTGCATGCCCACTGACTGCGTTAACATCCTGCAGACAAAAGAGGAAGCAGCCAGTGCCGACCCCCACTGCGTTGGTCCAGTGAAACGCCACTTTTCTGCTGCATCAGTCCCTCGGACAATCGGTTATCAGATCTGATTGCGGTCATGTAGGAGTTTCAAATCTCCAAAGTGACACGCTCTTGAGCACTCTTGCTGGCTTCCGTGGCCACACATAGACTCCCCTTGGTTGCCTCTACCTCCACAGGGAGGGAGAGGAGAGTAAAGTGAGAAACACTGTCCCCGTGGTAGGTTGTACCCACTCCCTGTGGAGGTGCCGGGGGTGTTTCCAGGGAGCATGGCTGTGCGTGTGTGTGTGTGCAGGACCTGCCGCCTGTTTTTAGAACTCTGATGGGGGAGGAGATGCTGGAGGACCCTGTCCAGCTAGCTTCATGACAGGCTGTCTCCCGATTTTTCCCAGCTGGGGGCTCCTCGTGTCACGACGTCCTCCGTGGGGGGAGGCAGCTGTGCACGAGGCAGCCCTTGCAAAGCCTCCTTAAAAAATGATGTTTTCGTCACCAGATAGTCTGGGGCAAATCTAGAGCAGTGTTGTTCCTGACGACTTCTCCCACCACCTGGGGTTTTGTGTGATGGGAAGCGAAAAGCAGGCAGCTTTTCTTCCTCCGGGTCCCCCGGACAGTTCTGGAGTCTCTCAAGCCTCATGCGTCCGCTGGGCCATCCGCTGGACGTTTGTTGAGTGTGGGTGGGGCCTGGGGTGCAGGGCGGGGTGACAGCGCCGGTGGGAGGGCCCCTGCTGGTCCTGTAGCCCAGGGCTTTCATCCTTCTGATGGTCCCCGTGTTCACTTCCTGCGGCGGCTGGAACAGTGACCGCAGACTGCGTGGCCTAAACCACAGGAATGGATGTTCTCACAGTTTGGAGGCCAGAAGTCCAAAGTCAAGGTGTTGGCAGGTCGTGCTCTCTCCAAAGCTCGAGGGAAGACTCCTTCCTGCCTCTTCCAGCCTCTCGTGGCTCCGGTGTCCTTGGCTTGGGGCAGCATCACCCGATCTCTGCCTCCATGGCCACGTGGCGTCTCCTCTGGGTGTCAGATCCCCCTCTTCTTTCTCTCATAAGGACACTTATAGGATTTAGAGCCCATCCTAAATATGAGGTGATCTTACCTCAAATACTTACCTTCATTACATCTACAAAGACCCTTTTTCCAAATAAGGTCACATCACAGGCTCTGGGGATTAGGACTGGGACATATGTTTTTAGGGGACACTATTCAAGCCACTACAGAACCTTAGAGGAAAGTGGGGCTTCTCAGGCTGAAATGAGGGGGAAGATCCGGTGCCTCCCTGCTCCTGAGGCCCATCCTCTGGGGGCTACCCAGGGCTCCGTGCCCACAGTTACAAACCTGTGATCTGGTCCAGCCTTGAAGTTGTGTAGAAGCAGCACCTGAGGCCCGTGAAGGGCTGGGGAGCTGGCTCGTGGTGTAATGGAGGAGAGGATGTCAGCTCCGTTCCCAGGGACCTCAAACACTGCCCCCGAAGCCAATCCCAACAGTCGTGATGTGGCCTGGGTGACGTGGGAGGGAGTGGTGTGAGGTGCATGGGGGCAGGGCCGGCTTTGGGAGGAGGCAGGAGCCACCTTGGCTTTGCGGGGACTTGAAATCGGAGGAGGAGGAGGTGTGCTTGTTTGGGGTCATGGCATAAACCGTCAGAACAACCCTAACAACCCTGTATGTTTGCTAAGCTGTCACTGTCCCTGATTGTGGGAACAGCCCCTCTTCTCTTGGAGCGTAGGACTGACAGGGATGGGACAATGCCGGCCAGTAAACACCTGGACAGATGAGATAGCTGGACGACAAGCACACAGGTGTGTGGGGCCAGGGAGTGACATGTGCCATGAAGACACTCAAAGCAGCGAAAGGAGAGAGGGTGGCAGGGGGGCTGGGTGTGCGTGTTTGATGGCCAGGGTGGCAGGAGTGAGCCACGCAGACCCCTGGAGGAAGGGGGAGTGTTCCAGGGAGTGGGCAGGCTCAGTTCAGCGGATCTCGAAGTCATCGCTGCCTCCGGGCTGTTGACGCCAGAGTCGACATCTGCAGGGCGGCTCTTAAATCGTGAGTCGGCAGTTGTGCTGCCTCCAAATGGGCACCCCAAGGAGTGGCCTCTCCAAATGGAGGCTCAGACCTCGCCAGGACTTCCACGAGGGGTCTTCTTATTCTCTTGGGGGCAAACCTGGGAAAAGGCCCTCACCCGCCTCGTTTCTGTTCTCCTTCTCAGCCCCAAGGAGCTGCCACCAGGGACACGTGGAGGTGGCTGTGCTGAGGTGGCCGGGGCACGGACCCCTCCTCTGCCCTCTTCTCGGAAGCTCACGGACGGACGGACAGGAGCCGCCGTCTGGGGACAGTTGGGACAGCGCTTTCGAGGCAGGGGTGGAGTGGATGCCTCGGGGGCCCTGGAACACGGGAGGACATGGTTCCGGGCCTTCAGCTCTGGACTTGCTGGCCAGTTGAACAGGCACTGACCTCTCCTCGGGGCACTTCAGGCTCCTCTGGACAGGGCGGTTTGCACTCGGCGGTGCTCTCGGGGAATAGCCCCCAGTGGAGAGGCGGGGCTGCACCGAGTGGGGCCCCCAGTGCAGACACATCCTGCGCCCTAGCCCTAGCTCAGGACTCGGCCGCCCTTGGCCACGTACGTTATCAACCAGGGGTCACAGGCGAGGCCCGCATGCCTGCACGGCAGCAAGGGAGCTGAGCAGCAGCTGTGTCCCCGAGACAGGGCACACAATGACATGCCGGCTCCTTCCCTCCAGGGACATTTCCAGTCCCTGCATTCCAGGATTTTGTGCCTTCTGTCCACCGAGAGGGACGTGTGCCCAGGGCTTAGAGAGGGTCCCACAGGAGTGCCACGTTTGGGGAATTGGTAGTTCAGGAGGCCAGGTATCAGGGACTAGGGCCTCCCCCACCCCATTGCTTAAGAACACATAACTCCCCGCCACCCCCACCCCCCAACTCAGCTGCACACCACGCCCTGTCTTCTGAAGGAGGTACTGTCCTTTGGGAAGACATGAGAGCTGTATTGGAATTTGTAGGAAAGAAGACTGGAGGGAGGGGCTGCTGAAATGGTCCTGGAGAGCTGTTGCTGGGGGGCCGGGGACCAGCTGCGGGAGACGGGGACAGGAAATGGTGGGGTCCTGTGAAATCCTGGGCTCCGGGGGCGGGGGAGGGGGTGGGGGAGACACTGGGTCGCTGAAGGTGGAGCCGTGGGCCCGGCCAGGAAAGAGCTGGTGAATGTTCCTGCCACGTGGGCCCCTTCCTGCTCTGGTCTTTATAACGCGGAGCAGCTGGTTCTCATTTGGAGCGTGGCTGCAGGGACTGTGCTGATGGCAGCTTCCCAGGCACCGTCCCCACCGCCTCAGAGGGAGCAGATCTTGGTGGAGGTGGAGATGGCGATGGCCAGCAGAAACGCTGGGCTGTGGGGTGGGAGTCAGATGGTCAGCGTCCAGCATGGGCCCAGGTCTGGCTGGGGCGAGTAGTGTAGGATGGAGGAAGGTGCAGACGAGGTGAGGACTAAGAAAGTCGGGAGGTGAGGACTAAGAAAGTCGGGTGGTGTGGACTACACCAGGGCTCTGTGTTATTCCACTGGAAACTGGACAACCAAGTGGTTAGAGCCTTGGGCCTCGCAGTTGGACAGAGGTGTGTCTGGCTCTGCCACTCACTCTCTGCCCCACTGGGCACATTGCTGAAGCACCCAGGCCTCAGTTTCCCCATCTGTACCGGGGATAATAGCATTACTGTAGTTATATCATAGGGTTTTGTGGGGAGTAAATGTGATCCTGCACCGTAAGTGGTGGTGGTGTGTTTGCTGATGGTGTCTGTGTTGGGTGGAGGTGAGGAGGGATAAAGGAAAGAATCCAGGGCTCCTCTGACCAGAACATCTTATAGAAGCTAGAGCTGTGAGTCCATGCTGTGGCCATGGCAGGTCAGAGAGGCCAGTATCCTCCAGGCTCCAGCCTTTTCTCTCTCCTGGAACGCGTGATTGCTGGTGCCTCTGAGTCCCCTAGTAGAGTGGGGCTGTCCCCTTTTCTTTCTGAGAGGTGAAGGGGTACAAGAGTCTCCCGGGGCCCTTGCTGCAGCATCCCTGCCAGCTGCCTTCTGATGTTCCCGGGTCTTCCCGAGCCGTCCACTCATCACATCCTCCTTTCTTTATCTTTCAGCCTTGAAAAGATCTTTTGAGGTTGAGGAGGTCGAGACGCCCAACTCCACCCCACCCCGGAGGGTCCAGACTCCCCTGCTCCGGACCACGGTGGCCAGTTCCACCCAGAAATTCCAGGACCTGGGTGTGAAGAACGCAGAGCCCGCGGCCCGCCATGTAGACTCCCTAAGCCAGCGATCCCCAAAGGCTGCCCTGCGGAGGGTCGAGCTCTCGGGGCCCAAGGCTGAGCCCGTGTCCCGGCGCACCGAAATCTCCATCGACATCTCGTCCAAGCAGGTGGAGAACACCGGCGCCGCTGGGCCGTCCCGGTTCGGGCTCAAGCGGGCCGAGACGCTGGGCCACAAGACGCCAGAGCCCGCCCCTCGGAGGACGGAGATCACCTTAGTGAAGGCCCAGGAGTCAGCCCACCGGAGGATGGAGACCCCCACCTCCAAGATCCCCGAGGTGCCCGCCGCCCCCACCGCTGACGCAGCCCCCAAGAGGGTTGAGATCCAAGTGCCCAAGCCGGCTGAGGTGCCTGCCTCCCCCATCCCACCCCAGACCCTGGAGAATTCAGAACCCGCCCCCATGTCTCAGCTGCAGAGCAGGCTGGAGCCCAGGCCCCAGCCCCCCACGGCCGAAGCCCCACCCAAGAGCCAGGAGGGTGAGTAGCCAAGTGCCCAGTCTTCCGTACTGCAGTGACTGGGGGCGGGGAGCTGGCTTTGCCATGGCGTCTTGGAGGAAGAAGCTGAATACGGGGTGGGTGGGGGGATATGCTTTTGTGGAGACCTGAGAATACACAAGGGAAGGTGTCCGAAGGCTCAGGGGAGGGGTCTGGCGGCCCTTTCTATCCACTGGCGATGGACCAAGATGCAGCAAGTTGGACTTGAGTTAGACTGTGGAAAGAACCTCTGGGTTGCAGGGGCCCCCTTCATTGGTCAGCATGGGCTGGTGTAGAACCTCTGCTGTGTGAGCCCAGGATGGCAGGGGGCTGAAGGCCTGGAACATGAGGAGGGGTGCAGGCACGGGAGCAGGCTCTTGTGGGTGCCTGGGGGTGGGATGGGTGTGAGACCCAAGGACGGGCTCTCTGGTTCCTGTGGTCGCGGGACTGGGAGGAGACAGGCTCCTGCTCAAGAAGAGTTGCAGGCTGCCTTGCAAGTGCCCGGTAGAGGCCGGGGCCTCAGGAGTGGGAGGAGGTGTCCTGCCCTCCTGAGGTTTTGCACTGGGGGGTCTTCCTCCTCCTCCTCCCCGGGGAGGGAGGGCCGTGGCCAGAGGCAGAGGTAAGACAAGAACGTCGGTCTCTGCATGGCTGGGAAGGAGTCCGCCAGGGGGCCCTGAGGTACCGGCCTGCAGCTCTGCTGGGAGTCTTCTGCTGAGGGGAGGGAAGTGGCCCAAACCCGGACACGTGCCCACGTAGGGAGCTTGCGGGGGGCGGTGCCCATACCTGTGGGACACATGCCTGCTTGGGAACCCCGGGCCATGGGACACAGTTGCTAACCCTCCCAGCGAGGATCTTGGCCCCGTGGGGCTGTGTAAAGGTGCTAGCTGGGTTGTAAGCCCTGTGAAGCCAGGTCCAGTTCTGATCGCAGGACTCGGAACTCAGTAGATGTTCAGTAAGTGTTGTTGGGGTTGGACAGGCAGAATGTTCTGGGGTTTTGATTTACATTTTAAAAATTATTGTTATTTTTAATTGTGGTAAAATACGTATAACATAAAATTGATCGTTTTAACCATTTTTAAGAGTACAGTTCAGTGGCATTAAGTACATTCATGTTGTTGTGTAACCATCACGACCATCCACCTCCAGAACTTTCTCATCTTCCCAAAGAGAAACTCTGTCGCCATTAAACAACTCCCCAACCCCCTCCCCCAGCCCCTGGGAACGTCCATTCTCATTTCTGTCTCTGTGAACTTGACTCCTCTAGGGACCTCGTATAAGAGGAATCACACAGTATTTGTCCTTTTGTGACTGGCCTATTTCACTCAGCATAATGTCCTCAAAGTACATCCATTTTGTAACATATGTCAGAATTTCCTTCCTTTTCAAGGCTGAATAATATTCCATTGTGTATATAGAGCACACTTTACTTACCCAGTCATCTGTGGATGGACACTCGGGTTGCTTCTATTCCTTGGCTATTGTGAATAATGCTGCTATGAACAGTGGTGTGCAAATATCTCTTGGAGTCCCTGCTTTCAATTTTTTTTTTTTTGTGTGAGGAAGATTGGCCCCGAGCTAACATCTGTTGCCAGTCCTCCCCTTTTTGCTAAGAAGATTGGCCCTGGGCTAACATCTGTCTCCATCTTCCTCTATTTTGTATATGGGACGCCGCAACAGTATGGCTTGATAAGTGGTGCGTCGGTCCATGCCCAGGATCCGAACCCGCAAACCCCAGGCTGCTGAAGCGGAGTGCATGAACTTAACTGCTATGCCACTCGGCCAGCCCCTCGATTCTTTTTGATTTTCCTTTTTGAGGGAGAATTTTCCAGTGGTCACTGCACTTGAGGCTGGGGAGGACTTTCGGCCTGCGATGGGGTGGGGTGTTGGATGAGACCAGCGCTCCTCATACTGATGCCAGCAGCTGCGTTCTGTCGAGCACACGTTTGACAGCAGGTCAGGGTCGGGGGCGAGTGGCTGGGACTCTAAATTTCCTACAGCGCCGGGCCACACTCTCAGTAGCCAGGGACTGGAGGACCTTCGGAGCTCCCTTCCAGCCCCGGCTGTGTGTGAGTCTGTGTTCTCTCTAGCATCTCCCTAAACTTGACCCTGCAGAGCCCCACACCTGCCCAGACACAGTGGTGTTGGTGTGTCGGGTTGATGGCATGGACAGTGTTGAGGGAGTGGACACGAGGCTGTTTCCTCACCATCTTCTGTGGGTCTGGGGCCTTTGCCACCGGATACACCCCCCTCTCGGGGGTGAGGTGTTCACACTCAGCTGAGTCAAACAGGATGTGGCTGGGGAGACACTTGTCACCGGGCCCATCCAGATCTTGATGACCGCTGGTGCTAGATGGGTGAGGAGGTGGTCTTGGCTCTAGGGGACAGACAGGGGCTGTCCGCTCAGAGTGGCAGTGCCCTGGGTTGTGGGGGCGGGCGGGGCACAGCCTCAGGCATGTCCTAGAACGGCTTCCTCCAGCTGCACAGCTGCTCACACCAGGGTTGCTGGGACGGTCAGCTGGGCTCTGCCTCAGGGGCAGGACGGATGGTGGGTGAGCAGCCGCTGAGGAGCACTGTGGATGTGCTGGGGGGGCTTCCGGAGCCGAGGCCGCTTTGGCACGTTTGGAGAGGGTGGGATTTAACCAAGCCAAGAAAGTGAGAGAAAAGCGTTCCCAGCCGAGGCGGCAGTCCAGAGGTGTCAGGGAGCCTGGAACTCAGGGAGCTGCACGATTTCCCGTGGAAAAGAATGTGAACGTCTGAGCTAGACGCGAGAGGAACACCGTCAGCCTCCCCGACCCCGCTGCCCCTCTCTGTGTGCAGATGGGAGTCCAGCTCTGCAGAGAGGTCCCTAGGCCAGCGAGGCTGTCTTCCTGCCCCTGGAGCAGAGCTGGGGGTCAGGATATGTGCCTGTCATGTGTGTATACGTGTGTGAGCTCTCGCGTGTGCTCACACCATCCCTCCACGTCTTAGCGGCTGGTGAGGAGGGGCCTCTCTGAGACCAGCCCTCACCGGCTGAGAGCCTTTAGGGGCAGCTGGACCAGGTGGGGGCTGCACAGACGCTCCAGAGAGGAAGGATACTTCGGTGGGGGAAGGGTGGTTGGAGGAGGCGGGGGGCTTGGATGACTCAGTTTGGGAGGATTCTTTCCTCTGAAAACAGCACTACAGAAGTCATTGTGAGTGAGCCCGGCCCTCAGGCCTGGAAGTACGGGGGTGAGAAGTGAACTGGGAGGAGGAAGTGAGGCCCACTGTGGGCTGGGGAATGTGGCCGTGATCTGCTCAGCCTTGAGGTCCTGGGCAAGTCCGGTTGGAGGACGGGGCCTCCCTGATGGAGGGGTGTCCCGCTTGTCAGGCCATTCTGTGGGGCGTCCCATGTAAAGTGGAGGAAGATGGGCGTGGATATTAGGCCAGGGCCAGTCTTCCTCAGCAGAAAGAGGAGGATTGGCAGATGTTAGCTCAGGGCTGATCTTCCTCACAAGAAAATATAGAAATTAGAAAGCAACTAAAATTCGCATTTAAGCCAGATATATCCACTCTTAACGTTTGCTATATATTCTTCAGAATTCCTTCCATGCCCCACACTGGATTCTAGGTTACTTGAGGGTGGGGCTGTTGTCTTTGTTTGCTTAAAGAATCTCTGAGATACCAAGTGACTTGGACGTAGTAGGTGCTGAATAAAATGATGTTGGAGGAGTGACACGGGGTGGCTTTTTTGTGGCTCTTACTGGCAGATGAAGGACCCCATGGGACCCCCAGGGACCAAGCAGATACTTTCCTGGTCAACCAAGAACCCACAAGTCTGACCCACTCCACCCTGGTGTGTTGGGTTCTTGGTTTCCGCGGCCGCTGCCCCTGTCCCTGAACCTGGCAGCCTCCTGTCATCCTTCGGGGTCATCCCTGCTCCTCTCGGGCTCTGTGTGGGAATGGCCTTGCCTCCTCTCCCAGCTCCCTGCTCTTCCCCTGCCCCTGCATGGGTGGCTCTGGGTGGGGCTGGGCTAAAGGACCCAGAACCGTGTCCACGTGGCAGGCTACTGGCTCTGCCTCCCCCCAGAGCCACCCCCTTCTGGCTCCACGGCCGACACCAGCCAAGTTTCCCCGAGGCTGCCTTATAAGGCGGGCACTCGCCGCTCACTCGTGGGTCTGGTTCTTTGCTGTCTCCGGATGCTCACTAGAGGACGTGGGGGAGGCCGGGGTGACCAGGCAGGGTGGAGGGCGGGGCCCCCCAGACTGGCGCCTGCTGAGTGCTTGAGTGTGTCCCGATTCCACCGCGCGAGCCGACTGGTTCTGAGCCATCACTCTGCAGGCCCCCAGCCTCAGTTTCTTGATCTGTCAGAGGAGGGAGGGGCTGGGCCTGCTGGCCGGAGGCGGTGGGGTGCTTATTCTGTGGTGGTGCCAGGGGTCGCTTGTGACCATGGGCATGAGATTGGGGTGGGACAGACTTAGTGAGTGTCTCAGTGGGGTTTCCCTTTGACTGAAAACATCTAGAAATGTTCTTGGCTGTGGGTGGAGCCTTGAGGAAGGTGGATCTAGCGTCTCTGTATGCGAGCTGTGCCTTCCAGGTGTGCCTGGTGCCTGCTGCAGTGAGCCCGCCTCAGGGGCCGGGATGGAACGGAGAAGGTCTCAGTTCCGTGGGGTCAGTGGGGGCTACAAGCGCTGGGTTCCTTGAGACCTCCGGCAGGGAGACGGGGCTGGAGGCAGCTGGGCAGAGAAGGCCTCGGGGACAGTGAGGTCGGGGCTGAGTGTGGAGGGTGAGGTGGGGAGGAATGTGCGAGGCCCGGAGCGTTGAGGTGGGGGAGTGGGCGACTTCCATGTGACAAGGGAGGAAGGGCCAGGCTCTGCAGGGCTCCCCAGACACCCCCTCGTCTTTACAGGACACCCCACTAACGGGGGTCCCCTCTGGGCCTGTCCCTGGGCTGGGAACAGCCCAGTGACGAGGTCTGCGTCTTGTCCCCTGTTTCACCCCATGCCTGCGTGTGGCAGGAGCCTGGTGATGTTGGGGCTCATCTGTG